AGGGCCACCATGTCTGCCTGCTGGTGAAGAAGGTGAGCTCACAGCACGCCCGTCCCCCGTCCCCCGTCCCCGTTAGCTGTACCAGGCCCCCACTGGGGGAGCCAGGGCCTGAGGAGGGCAGGGGCGGCCTCAGCGTGTCTCAGGCCCGTGGCTGGGCGCGGTGCGCACGGCTGCCTGCCGAGCCCTCCAGAGACTGAAGCAGAATTACTGAGTTCCAGGCCAGTTGGGGCATTTGGGTTCAGAAACTAAAGTGAGGCCTAGGCCCCAGATGAGGGGAGGAGGGTGGCCCTCCCACCACAGGCCTGGGCAGTATGTGCGTGTGGCTGTCCCCAGGGTGAGAGCTCCGTGTCGGTCGATGGGAAGTGCAGTGACGCCATGCTGCTCAGCAGCCTGCTGGAGGAGATGAAGACCACGCTGGCCCAGTGCTGAAGGACGGAGTGCAGGTGCAGCAGACCACAGACAGACATGACAGGCCTTGCCTCTCCTCTCCTCGTCCTGTGTACTGTGCCCACACCCAGCATTAATTTAACGCCCCGGCCTCCACTGTGTGACTCCGAGGCCCTGTGGGGCATCAACTTTTTTGTTACCCTTCTTTGTTCTGCCCTTGCACTCCCTTGGCAAGGAAGGCCGTTCCAACCCTAGCCAGCACGGGGCTCCTAGCTCCGCTCCCCGTTCTTGGAGGCAGCTGTGGGGACTCCAGGCGGTGGGGCCTCCAGGTTTCCAGCAAACAGTGGGGCTAGTGTGGCCCCACTCTTCTGCCCCCATGCCGCCTCTGGAGGAACTCTTCCAGCTGCTGCTGTCCCCAGACTTCCTGACTGGTGGTGTCTGTGGAGAGGTGACCAGGCCAGCTGTTACCACACTTCTCCCCAGAGTCTGCGCGGCCAGATGGATGGAGTGTACTTGTGGGTCAGCTTGGCTGCTGACAGCAGGGACAGCCCTTTGATTTTCTTGTGTTCAACAGAATTCTGGTGGGGTTCTGTTTGGGGGGTCTGTGGAGGGGCGCAGTCCATGCCCCTCAGTTTGTCACTACACATCATGGGTTGTCCCTGCACTGTGCCACAGCTGTGGAGGGCTGAGTGCCTTGCAGTGGAGACCCTGCATCCTGAGAGCATTCAGTGCTCACCCAGCCATTCCGGGGCAAGGTGAGTGGAGCCCAGCCTGGACTCTCCCTTTAGCTGGGTAGCTGGCCACAAGCTGAGCCTTCCTCAGAGGCGATGGTGGTCTACAGACATCTGGCTGTCCTTGAGGACTGCTGTCACTTTAGCATGTAGAGAACTCTGTTACCGACCCCACGTGACCTCCAGCTCTATGATGTTCCATGATTGATTTGCTGTCGACATTCCCATGTGAAGAGAGATATATCACGCTGCTGACGATCGGTGTCACAATGACCCAATAAAGAGTCGCAAAACATGTTTGCCTGTTGTGTCCTCACAGAACTGCAGAGCAGTCCTCAATGTGCCCATCAGGCTCCTAGGGCCCAGGTGGGACAGCGAGTTTCCCCAGCTTTAAATGCTGTCACCCTCATTGAAGGACTTCTGTGTGAGCATGAGTGCAGCTCCAGAGGCCAGGCTGCGCTGCGCCATCGCTTTCCACGCACACAATGCTGCATTGAAACCTGGTCCTTAGGCATGGGCAGCAGACGCTAGTGCTCACTCAACTATCTTGCCATTTCTCCTTTTTAAAAAAAGATTTAAAATTATATCATGTCGCCAGGCAGTGGTGGTACACACCCTTAATATCAGCACTCAGGAGGCAGAGGCAGGGGACAGCCAGGGCTACACAGAAAACCCTGTCTCAAAACAAATACACAAAGATTACCAACATGTCTGTCTACCATGTGTGCATCTTGTGCCAGGAGAGGGCGCTAGCTTCCCTGGAACCGCAGCTCCCGGTGGTGGTGGATGATCCCTCAGCACTGAAAACCTGGAGGCGTGCTGCAAGAGCCCAGACTGCTGAGCCACTTCAACCCCAAGCCCCTTTCCTTTTCCTTTCCCTTTTTTTTTCCCTTCGTCTTTCAAAAGACAGGGTTTCTCTGTGCAGCCCTGGCTGTCCTGGATCTCGCTCTGTAGACCAGGCTAGTCTCGAACTCACAAAGATCCGCCTGCCTCTGCCTCCCGAGTGCTGGGATTAAAGGCGTGCGCCACCATCGCCCGGCTCTTTTTCCTTTTTTTTTTTTTCCCTTTGTCTTTGAAAAGACAGGGTTTCTCTGTGTTGTTTTCGTACCTGTCCTGGATCTTGCTCTGTAGACCAGGCTGGTCTTGAACTCACAGAGATCTGCCTGGTTCTGCTTCCAGAGTGCTGGGATTAAAGGTGTGCACCACTGCTACCCAGCCTTCTTTTTTTTTTCTTTTTTTTGGTTGAGACAGGGTTTCTCCATGTAGCCTTGGCTGTCCTAGAACCCCTTTAAAAGAGTAAAAAATAAAATAAGCTTTTTAATCAACTTCATAAAAAGTATTCTTGTAACTGAACTTAGATAGGCCCACTTGCCCAGCAGGTTGCAGGTGATGTATTCACATTTTCTTGGCTCAAGGATGGGTGGCCTCTGCATGCCACAGGGTCTGAGTGACAGCACAGAGCTCGCTTGGCAGGAGGTAGGCGCAGATCAGGTGGGTCAGCTATTTAAGGTGGTCTGCAGCACTGGCTGAAGGTGTACCCGAAGCACGGTCAGGTAGGGACTCCCCGAGAAAGCAAGCCCAGAAAAGCAGCTCCGCCTGGGAGCCTGACACCTCAATGCGCCGGGGCCAGCCAGGCAGTGGATGCTCCAGGTCTGTCAGGAAGGGCTCCCTGTTCAAGTCACAGGCACAGCTTGAGGCTTCAGCTGGACATGGAGCAAGCAGGCTGACCTGGCCACAGCCCCACGTGATTCGCCCATCCTCTCCAGGTGCTGGTGTTTAATGAGGCCCTGAGGGGACTGCTGGCCATCTTCCACACACAGGGCAGTGTGCAGGGAGTCAAAACAAAAAAAAAGAGGCACTGACGTCCAAGCAGACTGGCTCGGGGGACCCAACTGAAGCACACGTTCCTTCTTAAAAGATTACAGCAAAATGATAGGACAGATATGGCCCCTCGAATGTGCCCTGGCAAGTGTGCCTGCAGCTCTAGATAAAGTCCTGCCAGCACTCCATTCAGCAGCCAAGTGCTTGTTCCCAACGGCAGGGCTCTCGGGCTGCTACAGATTCCAGCTGCTGTCACTGTCCACTGAGAAGGGCCAGATGTCCTTTGGTGCATCTGCTGGCGTGTCCTTTTTCACCACACTTGTAGCGAGTGACCTGCTCCAAGGCCGGCGTCCACGGCTGCCTGCACTGCTGCGTTGACTCTGCATGACCCCAGTGACCTGCGGGCCTCTTTGTTGGAGGCTGTGTCGGCTGGGGTAGTGGGGCTGCTCGGTAGTTCCCATGGGCAGTTCAAACCGAGGGTGCATGAATTTACACGAGGGGCCCTCAGGGCAGAATCCCACGAGGTAATTCACACAAACGACTGAGTGTGCCGGTGCCTGCACAGGGGACCATGCTTACAGAAGCCGCGGTCATACCAAGGGCAGTCCTTGATCTTGGACTCAGTCGATATTCAGGAAGGGGCACTCCTTGTTGCTGCATCCCCCGAACTCACGCATCTTGGTCTTGTCGTCTCATGCAAGAACTCACACTGGTCCCCTTTCTTGCACAGTCCTCTCAGCCAGTGTTTGCACACAACTGTCTTCTCACCACTAATGTGGCGGAATGGACGCATGCCCCCTTTGCCACAGGCAGCTTTCAAGAAGAATTCACAGACAGCAGCCCCCGACTTATCCATGCCAGGGAAGGGCAGCGGCCGCGCCCCGAGCTGCTGCTCCATGGCGATCTCCAAGTTGAACTTGATGTGGTCCATGCTGGCGATGATTTCCTGCATGGCAAGGGATGCCAGGCCTAGGACCCCCTTTCTTACTAACTGCTCTTGAGGCTGTGAGGGGAAACAGGGTCTTGGGTTGGAAAAGGCACTTGCTCCATGTCGGCTGCTCACTGCCACCGTGTGGGGACAAGGGAAGGAGTCACTTGTCAGTCAGCAGACACTGAGCCCTGTCAACTGCAACTTCCAAAATGCTGCTGTGCCCCAGGCCCCAGCCAGTGCTCCTGGGGCCATGCCTCTGAAGTGCAGTCAGCACCCTGTCCCACTGCTCTGCCCTGGCCGGGACCTGGAGAAGGCATCCTGTCAGCAGTCGGTGCAGAGCGATCCTTGCTGTGGTTTGTGACTGGCCGCTGACTGCAGCTTGAGCTCCCGACACCCCCCGCTGGCCCTGCTCTACACCCCAGTCCCTTTGGAGGAAAGGGACTTTAGACGCTACCACTCTTCCTAACCTGCAGCTGCGCTTATGAGCAGTAACTGTAGGGACATCCACGGAGGCATGCACCCGTCAGTGGGGCCAGGGACACCAGGTGGAGGCAGAAGTCCCTGGGTCTCCTGCATCAGCCACCTCCCAACCCAGACAGCCAGCCCGGCTCTGGTCACTGGCTGCCAGGTGCTCTGTGTGGTGTGGCCCACCTGTCTCTTCTGACCAGGAAACCCCAAACACACTAACCTGGCCCACCTTTCACCCCACTGCAGCGTCCACCCTGAGGCAGAGGTAAGAGGTCAAGGCCAGTCTAGGCTATAGAGCTGAGAACTTTACCTCAGAGGTGGGGAGGGGCGGGACGGGGCTCCATTGTTAACACCAAAGCCAGGTGGTACACCTGTTATCCCAGCACTAAGGAAATGAGGCGGACAGAGTTCAAGAGCTTCTGCTACCTGGCATGCCCCAGGCCATGTTGAAATACAAGAGATCCCGCCTCAACAAGAACAAACCTTCTCATAGGCACTCAGGAGTACTGGGATAAAGTGATAGCCCGGCTGTTTGGTCCCTCCCTCTGTGGGTAGGAGATGGGGACTCCTCCACACCCACACATGTTCAGTAAAAGCCCATACCTCCAGCTACGGCAAATACCCAGCCGGATCTCCTGGCAGAAAAGAATTGTTCTTCCTGAGAAATGTGAGAGCACTTTAATCAAATTATCTCTGGGGGCCCTGCCTGGGGGCCCTGCTATCTATACACAAGCCCATCTCCCTGCCCTCCCCTGCCCCGGCCCAGCCTGGGCTCCGTAGGGGTGACCCCAGGCAGGCAGCGGCTAGCCTCTTCCAGAGGAACAGGCTACGACAGTGCAGTTGAGTCCTTGGCCCCCGTCCAGGCTGGGGGCCAGCAGCCACGGTCAGTGCTGGGTCAAACACTCAGAGGCGTTTTCCAAGGTCAGGTTAGCCAGGTGCGGTGGTTCCAGACACTTTATGGTCGGTGAAAGGCTTTGGGGGGAGGGGAGGGGGTGCCTTGAGCCTGTTGTCTGCTCACGAGCTCCCGCCTCCCTTCCCAGGCTGCCTTCGTGACCTATTACTATAGCCCAGGCTGGTCCTCTAACTGAGATCTTCCTGCCTCAGAGGCCTCCTTGACGGCTGGGATTATATGTATGCATTACTAAACCCAGTCCCTGCATGTTCTTAAGTCCTAAAGAGTGCTAGGGGTCATCCACCCTCCCCAACACCCACAATGACAGGCTTTAATAGGGTACGGCAGGGTCTATAGCAAAGAGGTCACTTGACTTTGGAGTTCTGTGCTCCCCCCAGGCCACCCGAGAGCGTTATTCCCCAGGTCACTCACAAGGCGGGGATGGTTCTGCACATCCAAGGCAAGGCCATAGAGGAGGAAGCACGGTTCATGCGGTGGCCACACAGGGGGATGTGATTACAGACGTCCAGTGTGCCCGCAGGCACAGCCCTGCCCGGCATGCCCTCCCCAAGACCTCACCCCCATCCCTCAACTCCCCCACCCCCCCATGGAAGGCCCGTCTTACCTCCTGCCTACATCCTGACTGAAATAGAATGGGGCCCCAGTCAGACCCTCCAGGTCTGCCACCAACTCAGGGTAGCCCTGGGCTTTAAGAAGACCCTTCAGCCAGAATGGTCTGCCCCCTTCCTCCAGCTGAGCTTGGAGACCCTTGACGGGGCAGGGAGCAAGGTCCTCCTGGGCCTCTGTAAGCTTCGAAACCTCACCGTAAGGTGCGCGCGCGCACGCACACACACACACACACACTGTCTCCGATAAAACTGGAGATGGATTCGAGCAGGAACTTACTGGTGCCAGGCATGTCTACAACGACAATTTGTTTGGAGTCAGGGGACCAAGTGGCCTCTCTTTGTGTCCCCCTCTCTGAGTCCTGGTGCCCAATAAACCCCGGCTCACATGTAACTCAGAAGACCCTGTACAGCTGACTGCCACTGTGCCGATGACCTGGGGGAACACAGGGCTTGCTTGCCGGTGGGGTATCGCCGAGGCCCAGAACCCCTTGCTGCCCGGGTGACGATCCCAGGACCCCAGGGGCAGTGGGCTAGGTGGCTCAGCCATACTTGCAGTAATAGCCAAAGCAGATGACGTGTGAGTCTGTGCAGTTGCTGCAGGAGATGGTCTCATATTGGAAGATGCCTGCAACACACGAGAGGCAGCCACAGACTTCCCTGGGCCCCCCAGCCTGGGCCCCTGCCACTGTGGCCCTCAGCCTGGACCATGGTTCACTTACCACAGTGACGCTGACAGTCGATGCGGCCTGGGGGGGAGGGGGGGACACAACAGGACAGTGTCTTCTGACAAGGCCCGGAGCTCAAGACCTGTCCCTCAGCCCCACTTCTGTTTCTGTAGCCCAGGCTAGCCCGGCATGGAGAAGGTAGGCCAAGCTGACTTGGAACTTGTGGCAATCAATCCTCTTGCCTCATTCCCTCATTCCGGAGTGCTACGATTACAGGCATGTGCCACATGTGTTTCATGAAAGTGAGAAGGGGGCCTCGGCCCCCAGTGCAAGATAGAGCTAACCTAGGGGAAGGATGGTTACAATGCTCACGGTGTTACCGGGAGACTAGTATGATAGATGTGAGGGGTGATGGGTGTGCTGGTGACCACTCATGCAAAAGGGCCTCCTGCAGAGTCACTCCCTGAACCCTGTTTCCAGCGCCCCCAGCCCTTCAGTGCCTGCGGTTCTGGGCACTGTGCCCCCTCTGGAGCCCACTGCTCACTCTCTATGATGGCGTTCTGGATGAGGCGCACTTGCTCCCGGAAGATGGCCCGCAGCTCATTGGGGAAATACCCTGATGTGGGAGTCACAGCAGAATGGTCAAGCTCAGGTGCCTGGTGGCCCCCACCGGCCCTGCCTCAGTTTCCCTTCTTTACCTGGGAAGTACATCTTCCCCTGGTACAGCTGGTCCATCCTCTGGTACACGGCTCCTGCCACTTGCTCCAGCTTCTCTCGGGCTGAGGGCGGGAGGGAGAGGAAGCAGATGAGCTGCACAGCCCGGGGTCCCTGTTGCTCGTCTCCTGACCCTGGGATGGGCTCCGCCGCTCACTGATCTCGGCGGGGATGGCCAGGTGTAGCTCCTTCATCGTGTTCTGGCTCCACTCGGTGAGCAGCACTCCCGACACGGGGATGTCACCCACCCACCAGGACTTAAGGTTCACGTGGTGGCGGTAGAAGGAGAACTTCTCCGAGAATTTGGGGTCACAGTGCAGGCAGCCCCGGGCCAGCGCCGCTGTCATGCCCAGGCACAGCAGCAAGGCCATGGCCTGGCCCGGCCCGCAGTGCCCATCCATCGGCGCCGCCAGCGCCGCGCCCTCCAGCCGCGCACCAACCAACGGCGCCGCCCGCGCCACCGCCCCGTCACGCCGCACCAACCAACGGCGCGCGCTCTGGACCCGGGCCGCGCCATCCCCGCCCCCGGCCAGGCCTTGCCTCCAGCTCTGGCCCCGCCCCACCCCAGATATGGCTCCGCCCACGATCCTGGGTGTGTCCGATGGATGGCTCCGCCCCCGCCTGGCCCCGTCCCTATTAGACGTCGGTCCCAGGCCTGGTCCCGCCCACAGGCCTGGTCCCGCCCTACGGATGGCTCCGCCTCCTGCCTGCGCTGTGCCAATTAGACTCAGGCCCCAGGGCTGGCTCCGCCCCCGGGTCTGTGGCTCCTCCCTAGTTCCGTCCCCGCCCCTGTTACAATTGGCAATTGGTAATGCCAGTCTGCCGCCAGGCTCCTCGCCCGTATTGGCTCCGCCTCACCGACAGCACCTAACGCATGCGCCGAGGACGGGCGCCAGTTCCTGAGCCGGAGCCCGCGGGCTCGACCCCGCCCCTCAACCGCCGGGCTCCAGCCAATGAGCAGCGCCTGTCCTAGTCTCCGGGGGACCTGAGTGCCCGCCTTCCATACGGGACCTCGGGAGCCGCGCCTCCATCCGGGCCCTGTCCCTTTAAGGGAAGTGAATCCGGACCGCGGGCGCGGCCGGCGTGCGGCGTGTCCCTCCGCGGGCGTGTCCCTCTGCGGGCGCGGCTCGAGGCTCGGCGAGGCGGGAGGCGGCTGCAGCCCGTGGCGGTCCTGAGGCGGCCAGGTGGGTCCTCGGAGCGCGAAGGCGGGCGGCGGGACCCCGTCCCTCGGGATGACAGTGGCCAGGGTCGGCCCCCTGACCCAGGGGCCAAGGCGGAGGTGGGGACCTGCCTGTCAAAAGGCGCACCCGCGGGTCGCCAGGACCCTGCCGTCAGCACGGGGGACGTGAGCGCCGTGGGTCGCAGCCCCACTTTCAATATCTGAGGTCTCAGGTAGCACAGGCTGGCCGTCAGCCGCTGGGTCGGGTCCTCCCTGTCACCTCCCGCCTGACCCGTTTCTTTGAAACGGTCACGTTTCTGACTGCAATTCATGGGAGGTCTGGGGCTCTTTGCTCGGGGATGAAGCGTTTGCCTTGTGTCTGTAAAGCCCTGGTTCCATCCCCACTACCATCCCCTTACCACTCCCCCGCCAAAAAAAGGATGGGCAGGGGAGATTCAAAAACAGATCACAGGAAGTTAACTTCGGTGGCAGTTTCCTCTTTTTTTTATTTTTTTGAGACAGGGTCTCACTATTCAGCCCAGGCTGTCCTGGAACTCACAGAGATCGGCTTGCCTCTGCCTCCTGAATACCGGGATTAAGGCGTACGCCAATACCTTTTCCTTTCCGCTACCTTTCTCCCCTCCTCCCCCTCCCCCCTTCCCTAGACCTACATTCAAAGCAAAGGGTTGATGTAGTGTGAGGCGTGGCAAAGGCCCTTTCTACATATTCCAGAGCCCACCTGGATCCTTGTATTTTTTTGGTTTCTGATTTAGGATCAGGGCACTGGACAGTGGCTTGCCCAGTCTCAGGTTCCTTCCACACCTTTTCCAGTCTTTCCTGGAGATCATAAAATCGTAGAGGCTCCTAGTAGCCCTGTTCCTAGGCATCCTGAGGGCTGGAGCCTCCCCTCCCCCATGCAGCCCGGGGACAGTAAGAACTCTCCTCTCAAGTCCACGCTTCCTTCAGCATGGAGGCACCCATGAGTAGTTTTGGAAGTGAGAGAGTTCAGAGAGGTGACAGCTGGGGACAGCAGGATGTAAAAGAGACCATAGACTGAACTATTGACAAGGGCAGGAGCAGAGAAGCCGAGAGACACCACTCTGAGGACTTCCCAGGTCCTTTCCGGGGCACCTTATTAGAACTCATTGACCAACCTCCTGATTATAGAGCAGTGACGAGGCCTGAGACTTCCGCCCCAGGCTCCTTGACGTCTGTCGTTTTTTCCACCTTGATGCACAACAGTTTCATTTAAGATCAAGGACAGCCTGGTCAACTTAGTAAAACCTCATTTCAAAAAGAGCAAAAAGAGCCAGGGTGGGGGTGCACGGTTTAATCCCAGCACTAGGAAGGCAGAGGCAGGTGGATCTCTGAGTTGGAGGCCAGCCTGGGCTACAACAGCCAGGGCTACACAAAGAAACCATCTCAAAAAACTGGGGCGGGGTTAGGCCTAGAATCCCCCAGTGAGGGCTGGGGGCGTGGTCAGGGTGGAGCCCCGCCTAGAATCCCCCAGTGAGGGCTGGGGGCGTGGTCAGGGTGGAGCCCCGCCTAGAATCCCCCAGTGAGAGGCTGGGGGCGTGGTCAGGATGGAGCCCCGCCTAGAATCCCCCAGTGAGGGGCTGGGGGCGTGGTCAGGGTGGAGCCCCGCCTAGAATCCCCCAGTGAGGGGCTGGGGGCGTGGTCAGGGTGCAGCCCCGCCTAGAATCCCCAGTGAGGGGCTGGGGGCATGGTCAGGGTGGAGCCCCGCCTAGAATCCCCATGAGGGGCTGGGGGCGTGGTCAGGGTGCAGCCCCGCCTAGAATCCCCAGTGAGGGGCTGGGGGCGTGGTCAGGGTGGAGCCCCGCCTAGAATCCCCATGAGGGGCTGGGGGCGTGGTCAGGGTGCAGCCCCGCCTAGAATCCCCATGAGGGGCTGGGGGCATGGTCAGGGTGGAGCCCCGCCTAGAATCCCCGTGAGGGGCTGGGGGCGTGGTCAGGGTGGAGCCCCGCCTAGAATCCCCATGAGGGGCTGGGGGCATGGTCAGGGTGGAGCCCCGCCTAGAATCCCCGTGAGGGGCTGGGGGCGTGGTCAGGGTGGAGCCCCGCACAGAATCCCCATGAGGGGCTGGGGGCATGGTCAGGGTGGAGCCCCGCCTAGAATCCCCGTGAGGGGCTGGGGGCTAGGCTCAGCAGCAGAACATTAATTTAGGGTATCCAAGGGCCTGGCTTCATCCCCAGTATTGGATGGAAAAAAAGATGAGCCCAGCCCCAAGGTAGAATTAATTTTTCAATGTTAGGATGGTGTGAAAGTGATACAAACATGATTTGAACCTCATCTGTCCGGGACCGGTGACATGTGGAATAGGTAGATGCCACCAGTCAGATCTCATGTCAGACTGAAACCAGGATGACACTGTAGGGCACCATGTGGCTGTTGGGATGTTCTTTGGGTTCTGTGGGTGACACGCCTTTTGACATAGGAGATATACATATGTATATGGTGTAGTGTGTGTGTGTGTGTGTGTGTGTGTGTGCACCACCTACCGACAAGAGCCCCAGGAAGTCAGAAGGGGCGTCGGGTGCCCTGGAACTTGAGTCCCAGCAGTTGTGAGCTGCCATGTGAGTGCAGGGAACCGAACCCCAGCCCTCTGCAAGATCAGTAAGTGCTCTTCAGTGGGGCGCCATCGCTTCAGCTTTTTTATCTTTTAATTTCATTTATGTTGAGTAGGACTTGTGTACACACTCCAGCTGGCTTGCTGTTCCCTTGGTTGCCCAGGCCAGTGTCAAACTCAGCAGTTCCCCTGCCTCAGTCTCCCAAGAGTTAGAACCGCAGTGTGGGTGGATATCTCCAGTCTTAGTGGGTTTATTGGGGCAGAATCACACTGTAAATCAGAACATCTGAGTGTTATTGTACATTCCATCCCTCTTGCTTTTTCTCTCTCTTTTATAAGACAACCAGAAAGTTTGAAACTACGTATTTGGCTCTCATGGAGTTCTAGAGGTCTCCGTGACATTTATTCCACCAGCAAAGGTGTGATGAATAGCTTCTTTTGGGGGGTGGGTTGTGACAGGGTCTCCCTGTGTAGTCCAGGCTGGCCTTGAACTCACAGATCTGCCTGCCTCTGCCTCCCAGTGCTGGCCTGGGCATGTAATCATGGTTTTTAAAGCGACGGCGTATTGCTGTGTGGCCTGGCTTGGCCCAGAGCTCTGATTCAAGCAGTCCTCCCTCCTGCCTCAACCTCCTGAGTAGCTGGGAACAAAAGCTGCGCACTAGAACGCAGGCATGATGGAGTTCACTGACTGGAGCAGGGCCTCTCGCCAAGTGACTGTGAGTGGCCAGGAGCTCACTCTGTGGCCCGGGCTGACCTGAGCTCCCAATCCTCCTGCCTCAGCTTTGCTGCCGTCAAAGCAGCATTTTAGGTTCATGGTGTAACTGACTTGAGTGTGAGGGGCTTGCTTGGTTCCACAGTGAGCTCTGTGTGTCTGTGGCCTCACTGGGGAGGGCCCCCCAGCGCTGGGGTCTGTGGCTTGAGGAGTTTAATCATGCCTCTCCCCCAGTGCAGCAATGGGGAGGGCCTTGTCTGAACCGTAACGAAATTTGCATTTCTCCATCGATTTATTTATTTAATTTGGTGGGAAGAGGTTAGAGGAGGGAGGAGTCTGGCCTCTCCTTCCACCGTGTGTGTTCCTGTGGACTGACTCAGTTTCTCAGGCTGTGGTGGCGTCTTCACCCACAGAGCCAGCTCACTGGCCCTGCTTGAGTTTTCTCCCCTGCTCCATGTTGCAACCCAGACACGCTGTTACATCTCTCAGGAAGCTGGCAAACTGCCCTTCAGAGGCCAGGCCTGGTGGGACAAGCCTGTCAGCCTAGCACGGGAGGTCGAGGCACGAAGGTCAGGTTCACGGCCAGCCTGGGCTACAACCCAGGAGTGCCAGGTCTTTACCAGGTGGGATGGCCCAGCTCACTGCAGACTTTCTGCGTGACCCCCATGCCCCGAAAGTCCCTGTGGTCATCTCTCCAGTCAGCGTCCCCTGCTCTGGAAATCCCCTCCACTCAGAAAGCGGGGTTTCAGCGACGGAAGTTCCCAGAAATCCCCGCAGTTGGGAATAGATCTGGCTTTCCCAGAATGCCGGACTTGAAGTTTCTTAACCAGAAAGGGCAAAACCTGTCACAACAGGAGGATTCTATGCAGCGTATCCGCCGAGGGTGTGCTGCCCGTTGCTGAGGATCGTCCTCCAGCCGGCTCCTCCTCCTTTTCCCTTTTACCCCAGTGGAACTGGGGTGAGGAACCCATGAACACTTGCCAGCCAAACACTTACCCCTGACCACTCCCG